GTGTACTAGCAATACCAGCGGGTCAACCGATGTTATAGTGTACCCACAATACCAGCAGGTCAACCGATGTTATAGTGTACTAGCAATACCAGCGGGTCAACCGATGTTATCGTGTACTAGCAAGTCACCTGATGTTTTCATCTACCAGCAATACTGACTGGTCAGCAGATGTCTTTGTGTTTCAGAAAAAAAAAACGCCAGCTCAACTAATGTTTTCGGGTACTAGCAATACCGACAGTTCACCTGAAGGTTTCGTGTACTACTAATACCAACAGGTCAACCAATGTTTTCGTGTACCAGCAATACCGACAGGTCAACTGATGTTTTAGTGAACTACTAATACCGACAGGTCAACTGATGTTTTCGTGTACCAGCAAAACCAACAGGTCAGCTGATGTTTTAGTGAACTACTAATACCAACAGGTTAACTGATGTTATCGTGTACTAGAAATACCGACAGGTCAACTAATGTTATCGTGTACTACTAATACCGACAGGTCAACTGATGGTTTCGTGTACTAGCAATACCGACAGGTCAACTGATGTTTTTGTGTACTAGCAACACAAACAGGTCAAGCAATGTTTTCGTGTACTAGCAACACTGACAGGTCAGCTGATGTTCTCGTGTACCAACAACACCGACAGGTCAACTGATGTTTTCGTGTACTAGCAAAACCGACAGGTCAACTGATGTCATCGTGTACTAGCAATACCGACAGGTCAACTGATGTTTTTGTGTACCAGCAACACCGACAGGTCAACTGATGTTATCGTTTACTACTAATATCGACAGGTCAACTGATGTTTTAGTGAACTACTAATATCGACAGGTCAACTGATGTTATCGTGTACTTGCAATACCAATAGGTCAACCACTGTTTTGTATACTAGCAACACTGACAGGTCAACTTATGTTATCGTGTACTAGCAACACAAACAGGTCAACCAATGTTTTCGTGTTCTAACAACACTGACAGGTCAACCAAGTTTATCGTGTACTGCTAATATCGACAGGTCAACTGATGTTTTCGTGTGACAGCAATACCGAGAGCTCAACTGATGTTATCGTGTACTACTAATACCGACAGGTCAACTGGTGGTATCGTGTACTAGAAATACCAACAGGTCAACCAATGTTATCCTGTACTAGCAACACTGACTGGTCAACCAATGATTTTTGAGTTCTAACAACACTGATAGATCAACCAGTGTTTTCGTGTACCAGCAATACCGACAGGTCAACTGATATTTTAGTGAACTACTAATACCGACAGGTCAACTGATGTTTTCGTGTACTAGCATCACTGACAGGTCAACTGATGTTTTCGTGTACCAGCAATACCAACAGGTCAGCTGATGTTTAAGTGAACTACATATACCAACAGGTTAACTGATGTTATCGTGTACTAGAAATTCCGACAGGTCAACTAATGTTATCGTGTACTACTAATACCGACAGGTCAACTGATGGTATCGTGTACTAGCAATACCGACAGGTCAACTGATGTTTTCGTGTACTAGCAACACTGACAGGTCAGCTGATGTTCTCGTGTACCAGCAACACCGACAGGTCAACTGATGTCATCGTGTACTAGCAATACCGACAGATCAACTGATGTCATCGTGTACTAGCAATACCGACAGGTCAACTGATGTTTTTGTGTACTAGCAACATTGACAGGTCAACTGATGTTTTCGTGTACCAGCAACACTGACAGGTCAGCTGATGTTCTCGTGTACTAGCAATACCGACAGATCAACTGATGTCATCGTGTACTAGCAATACCGACAGGTCAACTGATGTTTTTGTGTACTAGCAGCATTGACAGGTCAACTGATGTTTTCGTGTACCAGCAACACTGACAGGTCAACTGATGTTATCGTTTACTACGGGTCAACTGATGTTTTAGTGAACTACTAATATCGACAGGTCAACTGATGTTATCGTGTACTAGAAATACCGACAAGTCAATTGATATTATCGTGTACCAGCAACACTTGCAGCTCAACTGATGTTATCGTGTACTACTAATATTCACAGGTCAACTGATGTTTTAGTGAACTACTAATATCGACAGGTTAACTGATGTTATCGTGTATTAGAAATACAGACAGGTCAACCAATATTTTCGTGTACTAGCAATACCAACAGGTCAACCATTGTTATCGTATACTAACAACACTGACAGGTCAACCAATGTTTTCATGTACTAGCAATACCGACAGGTCAGCTGATGTTTTAGTGAACTACTAATACCGATAGGTCAACTGATGTTTTCGTGTACTTGCAATACCAATAGGTCAACCACTGTTTTGTATACTAGCAACACTGACAGGTCAACTAATGTTTTCGTGTACTAGCAACACAAACAGGTCAACCAATGTTTTCGTGTACTAACAACACTGACAGGTCAACCAAGTTTATCATGTACTGCTAATATCGACAGGTCAACTGATGTTTTCGTGTGACAGCAATACCGAGAGCTCAACTGATGTTATCGTGTACTACTAATACCGACAGGTCAACTGGTGGTATCGTGTACTAGAAATACCAACAGGTCAACCAATGTTATCCTTTTCTAGCAACACTGACAGGTCAACCAATGATTTTTGTGTTCTAACAACACTGATAGATCAACCAGTGTTTTCGTGTACCAGCAATACCGACAGCTCAACTGATGTTTTCGTGTACCAGCAATACCGACAGCTCAACCAATGTTTTCGTGTACCAGCAATACCGACAGCTCAACTGATGTTTTCGTGTACCAGCAATACCGACAGCTCAACTGATGTTTTCGTGTACCAGCAATACCGACAGCTCAACTGATGTTTTCGTGTACCAGCAATACCGACAGCTCAACTGATGTTTTCGTGTACCAGCAATACCGACAGCTCAACTGATGTTTTTGTGTACCAGCAATACCGACAGCTCAACCAATGTTTTCGTGTACTCGCAATACCAGCAGGTCAACCAATGTTTTCGTGTACCAGCAATACCGACAGGTCAACTGATGTTTCCGTGTACTAGCAACACTGACAGGTCAACCAATGTTTTCGTGTACTAACAACACTGACAGGTCAACTGATGTTTTCGTGCACTTTCGATACCGACAGATCAACTTCGTGTACTTGCAATACCGACAAGTCAACCAATGTTTTCGTGTACTAGCAATACCAACAGGTCAACCAAGTTTATCGTGTACAAGCAAAACCGACAGGTCCGCAAATGTTTTGTTGACTACCACTACGGACACGTCAACCAATGTTTTCGAGTACAATACTGGCAACACCGACGGGTGGGGAATCAGCGTACCACATTAACTAGGCATAAGTCATTGGCCGGGTGCATATATATATATTCGTGGACAATTATGAGCATGGGACTGTTTGCCGATCGACCTTACTTTCGCATGTAAATTAACACCAGTGTACAGGTTTGGCTTTACAACATGTCACCACATCTGACATCTGCGGTAATACGAATTCTATCAGGGATTTGGAAATTACTCCATTCTGATCGGTCAATCAGATGTATCAAATCACAATAACCACCTCTGATTTGACGGCCGCCTCACCGAGGAAGCTTTTTTAAAAGAAAAGTATTTCTTTCTCATTCATTATCGGTAGGTATTTAAAAAAAGTTAATAATAGGTTACAAAATGCTAAGCTACCGTTACTAAAATATTCATATCGGATCGAAAACACGATAGAAAGAGTGTATTTATGAAGTAGCTGTGCTGCACACTTTCAACGCACGTCATAAATGCGAGTAAAGATTATAGCGTGAATAAACAATGTTAGAGAATGTCATAATTCGTTACAAGGCTATTGTCGATGTCAAAACATTGGACTCGTCCCATGCAGTTTTATATAACATCTTCAGTAACATGAAAGAGACCGCATTAAATCTTTCCATGTAAGAATGAAGATGAAACACTAGGATAAAAAATCTGTATTTTAAAATTTAAAGTGGTATTTCTGAAGATTATATACCTCATTATTTGTACATTTGAAACCTCAAGCTAAACGCTCAGGTCCAGATTAAAATAAGAGGGATCAATTCTACATTGAAACGACCCGAATTTAAAAACTAAATAATTTTATCTCCTAGTTTCTCCTAGGGCTTGGCTTTGCATCGCGCCGTGTCGGGTAGGTAGAATAATGACAACGATGCACTGTTTCGTTCATCGTAAACGATTAACGGGGTTTATCTGTCAGTGATAAATAGTTGATAAAGCTGACTTGGGCTACAAAAGTGGCATCAAACCCACACTGAGCGACACAAATGCAACGATTTTAGCAAGTATTTGTACAATTAAAAGTCCATAAGCAGAGTGTTTGTCGCAAGTAAAGGTTCTTGTATCCGAAATAGGCGGTGTGTTTACCAACCACATGTAAATATAATTGGCTCCGCACATTTCCATGAGTTGACGTGACGCTCTGAAATAACAACAGAAACCTTGACATACATACTTTTCTACAGGGTAGATGTCATATCACGTAGGCATTATGTCACATTTAATACAGATAATATATCTCCTAAACAAACGATTGAGAAATCCAATTCATTTTCTTGAAAAACATTATTTTCAGTCGGGTTGATAACGCTGATTGATTAAATTAGGGCTGCTGAAGAGGGAAAATGGATCTTGTATTCACGCACTGTGCAGATCCCCGCATCTCACTAGACCTATATCCATAATAAATAGCACCAGATACAAACGTCCTTGGAAGCAGTGGAAACAGAGACAGGGCAATGCGAGCGGGGACTAGAAAGGGTAGGAGAAAAACGCTTTTGTATTTACGTCTCTTGCATCGTCAGTTCAGTCGCGAAACTCTGCCCCCTCTAAAAGGAATTGCAATTGTGATCATCCAGTCACCAGGGAATCCACCCCTACTTTTGTTCATCGTGTGACCAAAAGCAAAGCACTTGAAAATAATTTTCGCGTTTAGTTTCATGATTATTTTATTAACTGCTGTGCCATGTGAGATGGGTGGTATCGATCTGTGTAAGTACGACAGTGCTATCAATGACGGCACAGATGCTGCCTTGAAACTGTAGGGAGGAGGACGGCCGCTTCCCGCTGTCAGTGTCACACGCTTGAGTTTATCTGATGCCCAGTGGCCAAACACTGACCGGATGAGATTACTGCACTCTCTCAAACCGTATCTGGCCTCGTGGATCTCACACACAGCCATCTCCTCCGTCAAACATGTACGTCGCCGACAATTACGTGTAAGTTGACCTGATGCTCTTAGTTTCAACTGACTTTTGTCATTGTCATTGTTTACGGGCGGAGGTAATTCGTTTTCTTCTAAAACGAGAGGGATCACCAAGGCTAGGAGCGAATGCTGACTTGTGAGTGATATTCTGCTTAAAGGGAGGACTAAGTAAGCAGACTGGCTGTGTCAAGGGGGGCCATAACGCTGTAATTAGCCGATATGGCTCCAATTAAGATTGGCTTATTCTCTAGAGGGCTGACCAAAATCAATGATTGCACCGCCCGGAATGTTGAGATCGAGGCAATGGTCCGCGGATAAGTGCAGTTGGTATGTAAATGACCCCAGCCTGACGCGCCTCCTGCTCTGATAGCCCTCGCCCACGTGGCACAGCGAGAAACTTCTCCATTGAGAGAATGGACTCTCTCTTCGCGATATTGCAATGAAACATGCACGTGTGACCTGCAGCAAAAAATGAATCGCTACTGTTGACAGGAGGACAAATTGTATGTTATTGAACAGCTGCGGACCCGAGGCTGCCGAGACAACCCCAGGAGAGGGAGCCCCGGAAGGCTGGGCATAAACACAACAGGACTGTCTCCTAGATTCAATAAACGTTCAGAATCAAGCACGCGGCTTATCACAGTTTACAGGCGAGCTGATACAAGCTTCTGTGTTTGTTATAATCCAATCTCCGGATTGTGCTCAAACGATCGTACCGACAACAACAAAGAGAATATCTACGGTTAAGAAGCGATGGATGTTGGTACTACCTGATGTGTGAGTATTGACAGGTGCGTGGTTTATTCACAACTGTTGTGTATGGGTATGTAACTAGACTTGCTGTGGTGTAACTACATTCAGCTGTCACCTAGGCATCAGAACAGCCGTCGAGTCAGTTGACAGTACTAAACGGTGATACACGACAATCATGCGGACATTGTACCAATCTACCTCATGTTATTAGCATCAACAGAACTTGCTTGTTCAAGTGTGTATAAGCTTGTTTAGTCGTGTGACCTGATGGCACTGTGCGCCAACTCAACCGAGTAAGACTCGCTTGTTTCATACTCTACTGATCACGGCTGAAGGATTGGAGAATACCCATGGCTTATTGACTGTAGTCTTCCTTTGTGGTATTGAAGACGCGTTCAAAATCATTTGGAAAGAATGAGCTCAATAATCGAGGATCCTGCTATTCCACTGGTTGGAATGAATAGACACAGGAAACACAAACTATACACCAGCTTTGAGCAACAGGAGCTAAAGTCGAAGAGGTTTGCAACGGTAGGAAGTAAACTGGCGAAACGAAAGGAATTGTTCGCCAAACGCAAGCGCGCCTGTGACATCGCGCTTGCGTTGGCCGTGTCGGGTATTTTGTTCATGGTGATAGAGACGGAGCTAGCTTTTGCTAAGGTTGTAACCAGGGGAACCCTTGTATCTAACCTGTTTAAGATGTGTACCACGGCTTGTACTGTATCCCTTCTGATCTTTCTAGGGTTGTACCATAAACTCGACATCCAACTCTTCACTGTCAACAATAGTGTAGAAGACTGGCGACTAGCAATGGGATATAGGAGAATATTGTCGATCTGTCTTGAATTCACTGTATGCATCGTGCACCCGATCCCTGGGAAGTTCGACATAACGTGGAGTTCAACCGACTCCGACAGCGATCCTGGGAGGGGGAACGTCTCCGTGCCTCTAGACGTTGTGCTGTCGTTGCCGATGTTCCTACGTCTGTATCTCGTCTGCCGGACAATACTCCTCCACAGCAGACTATTTGAAGATGCTTCGTCTCAGAGTCTAGGGGCGCTCAACAGGATCAACTTTAACTTCCGGTTTATCTTCAAGTCTCTGATGAGTCTATACCCCGACTACGTCCTAGCCGTCATAATGGTGTCGCTGTTTGTCATTGCCAGCTGGGCTCTCAGGTTGTGTGAAATGTACGGGGACAAAATACATGCAAACTTCCTCAATACCATGTGGGTGATCGCCATCACCTTCCTCACTATAGGCTATGGTGATATTGTGCCTAACTCGTACTGTGGACGTGGTATATCGGTTATTACGGGTATAATGGGAGCCGGGTGTACTGCATTGGTTGTGGCGGTTTTGGCTCGAAAATTGGAGTTATCACGGGCAGAGAAATACGTTCATGACTTCGTTCTGGATGTCGATTTGGATAAACGACTGAAACACGAAGCAGCTAATGTTGTGAAATGTGGCTGGTTTGTATACAAGCTGAACAAAAAAAGTGCCAACGCTGACAAGAAAGACAGACAGGTCCTAGCGCATCAGCGGAAGTTGCTCCGCGCCATTTATAACATCCGGGAAATCAAATGTGCACAGCGCCGCCTAATGGACCAAGCGGTCACCGTTGTGGAGGTGAGCAAGACCCAGATTGATATGTCAGAAAGTGTAGATCAAATACGACTCCGCCAGGTGGCGCTGGAAGAAAAAGCCAACAACATGGAGGCTAAATTATCACTTATATACGATCATGTCGTTGCCATAGGCAACAGACTACGAACAGGGAAGTAGTTCCCAAGGTGTAAGTGTAATTACAAAAAGTGCTGCTAGCGTTCCTGTTTGACGTTTTGAAAGATGTGCCGTCTCTTGGGACCTGACTTGAAGCACCAAGTGGTAATGTCATTATATTAGTACACTAAATGAATACTATGACCTTCAAAGTTGTCCAGATGTCACTGTGGTAGAGTTTGCAAACTCTGGTTTCTTTGCCTCCATTTAACGCATGTCCTTCACAAGTACTGCGCTGTTTACTATCGTTGCTAGTATATGTTTGAAGAAATCAAAACTAGGTGCGTAATTAACCTTATTACATGCTTTTTAGATGTTATAAATGTACATCGTGTTTGATGTGCGGAGGACAAATACAGATCTGGATACTTGATTGTCAGAAGTAGGTGCATCCTTCGACCACCTTTACCCAAAAAAAGTGTCTTCTCATGTTCAATGTGTCTACACTAGAAAATTACAATCTGAGACCGTGTCACACAATGTTTGAGAAGGTAACTAGCCATGGTGTTAACGATTACGATCACTGTTCCATATTGTTTAAGCGTTATTGTAAATCGTTTTACGGAATAATTTACATTACAACGCTACTATGTACTTGTATATGATATTTAATGTGTACGTTTGAATGATCAAAGTATATATGAAGGTTTTACTGCGTAATAAAAAAACATGCATTGTACTTTCTATAGTCTTGTATACTATAACGGTAGTGAACTGATATTTGTCACATTCGGCTTGTTTGGTATGAAAAATATGTACACATTGTATGTGACGCTAGGAAAGGTGAATGTTGAATGTTGAATGCGTTCGTAAACCATGCGGCAGTCGCAGGGAGAATCCCAACCTGTGGAGATAGGTTGCGTCTCTTATAAGTGACAGGAGCTGCTGGTCGCACCGTGTAAGAACATTAGCCTGTCAGCATCTTATCCATGCTCGTTGATTCCGCATTAATGGTAAGGGCCTACGACCCTGATTTCCTCATATGGGACCATGCTTCATGGTATCGTAGTCATTTCCAGACACTGTGATGAGTGTCGTGTCCAGCGTTTAGACATTGTCTTTGTGTATTTAGTGTAATCAAGAACTATAAGATCATCAAATGTTAATAATCCTTTGAAATGCCTCTCAAACATGAAATTGACACGCCGAGGTAATATTGCGTTTCCCCGCCATGCTACTCACTTACTGTATGTATAACACACGTGGATATATTTTACGTTCATAAATCCTCTGTGGGGATTCCGAGTTAAAAGGGTCCGGCAACCTATGCGTGGTCGTAAGGGGCGACTACATGGACCTGGTGGCCAGAAGAGATTACTTGGCTGATTGCGTATCACCGTGACCGACGGTGTGTAACGTTTTATCAACCACTGGAATTTCTTTTCCACATTCGATTGTTAACAAACCACATTCATATAGCTGGAAAGTTGGTGTGTCGGTTGTAAACAAACAATCGTTCCTACTTTATCTGTGGATGTGAAGACAGGGTTACTATACATCTGTAGACACATGTACGTCCATTAGCACGCCCCAGGGGTAAACGTATGTAAACAGTATAATCCTCAACGTTGCACGTGTCTATACCAGATACTGACTGCATCAAAGAAGGCGTTGAAGTGACGTTACGACGTTCCGTCGCACGTGTATTCGGCAAACAAGTCCTGATCCGATATTTCCCCTTGTCCAATGACTTGGTCAGCGATTGCGGTTGCTCAATACTTTCGCATTTGTCGCGGTGGTGTCGAAGCCAAATATTTTGATCTGGTCCAGGGGTTGGTAATCTTGGTCCACTGCTGGTTGGATCGTATCCATAACTTGATGATCAGACCGGTGTGCTTTGTCACGTCTTGCTGTGTGGTCCCAGCTTGTAAGCTGCCAATTGCATTGCTGCCGTTGGCTTCTGTCACTCTTGGCAAATTAACGTCTCACAGACTGGCATAACACGGGCTCTGGTGATCTCAACACGCAGCTTGTTAAAGTCATACCCATCTGAGGTGTCAGCCCGAATGGATTGAGATCTGATGTTGGAAGTATGTAGCTGGCTGCTTTCTTCAATTCACAAGATATGTAGCTCACCTATAAACGTTTATGTAAATATATTTCTGTTGTGACGTATTTGCTGCAGGTTACACTTTTTGTTAGATTTCAGTATCAAGAAGGTAGCATTTCTTGCCAATACTTGAACAATCGAATTATGTACACTTTCTATTTGTGAAGAGTATATACTTACAAAAACAAAACTCTTTGCAGGCAATTACTTCCAAGTACAACTTCAAACAAATAAAACTCGACTGTGTGTTTCTAAATTGGCACCGACGGTTATAGGTTTGTAAGGAAGAAAGAAGTTATGCAACTTATCATGGAGAGGCAGTACGCCGTAAACATGTTTAGGCTGTGTCTGAATCCTAAACGGAATACATATTTGGTGTATTCTATCCAACCGCGTTTAGGTTCTGAACCCCGCCTAATCACTTCATTCCCATAATTTAGACATGATTGGAATTGAATCATGTTTACAACAAAGTGCTTAGCATTGTGTATTATCCTAATAACCTGAACAAGTTTAAAGAAACTGCATATCATTGGGCATTAGGGGCGTTCGGACTCGCTTCCCCACATGGGTACAATGTGTGAAGGCCATTTCTGGTGTCTCCCCATCGTGATATTGCTGGAATATTACTAAAAGCGGCGTAAAACCATGCTCCCTCACTCACACATTGGGCATTGGGTGACATATGGTAGAGATATGAAATAAACTGCCAGACTGAAGAAAGTATACACTTAAAAATAAGATTTGAACAAAAAATGCAATTGTCATCAAAACGTTGTTAGGCTGACCTGTTGTGAGATGCTCATTGATATGATGCATGGCTGTAATGTCGCCTATGATACCCGTATCAAATACCTCACCATCGAATAACCATTTCTTGTTTGTTTACTTTTAGCCACCTTCAAACATAGATGAATACTTCGTGTGTACTTTCTTTTCCCCACTTAGTTTTATAAGTACTATGGAAATATGAAGTGAAATCGGACTCACAGGCACCTGCATCTCGTATCCCCCCGACTTGTATTCATACCCACCGACTTGTATTCACACCCACCAACTTGTTTTCATACATGTTTTGTTTCTGGATGACTGTTAGTAAATATCTCAAAAAGGAAACGGTAGCTGAGAATAACGTATGCTTGATTACTACTGTAGACCCCACATTTCTTTTAGTTAACCCCCAAACTCCCATATATACCACAATAAAAAATGTAAAAAGCGCTCCTTTTTCATTTTACTACAATGAATGTCAAGAGGGGCGAAGAGGGTGAATACGGATCTTTCCACGTTTAGACAAAAAACACGGTCAACACAATCCTAAATATGTGGGACACTTGGGTTGGTCTTTTGTATCTAAACACGTTTGTTCACAGGATATTACACTGATGGAAACGAATAAGAGAACAATGAGAAATATAGGGCAACAGTTCTTTACAGTAGATTTGAAATAGCGCGCATACACATTCAGCACATGTCAGAATAGAATATTAAGATGTTCCCTTATCCATCTCCATCAGTAATATATTTGAGTCTTTTTTAATAACTTGGTTAGTCTAGTATACGACAGTTGATATGTACTTAAAAACACCTAACAATAATGTCAGAATAAAATATTGAGATGTTCCCTTATTCATCTCCATCAGTAATATATTTGAGTCTTTTTTAATAACTTGATTAGTCTAGTGTAGCACATTTGAGATGTACTTCAATAACACCTAACAATGAAAATGAGAGGCGAATATAGACGGCATTGTGCCATACTAACCATACTAAGGCTTTTGATAACAGAATCTATTTTTGCTGTTTTCTAAAACATATATTGGAACAGCATTATGATATTACTTCTGTATGAAACATATGACAATATAATCCTATGTGATTAACAGCTGGTCGTACGTCAGAGCTGTAAAATATCTGATTTCTTGGGGGCGTTATCGTCATTACTTTGAAAGTAGGTTTATAGTTAGTAGATGGATGTTTTTTGTTGGTGAACCTCTGTATTGTTGTCACATTTGGAAGCCGGTTACAAACCAGTACAGTGTGTCACTTTGGGGGTAAATGGTGAGCATTTACATCGATTGTTCGTCATCACATACTCCTCAGAAACAAGATCCCCTCGATTTCTTTACCCGACTTGCTCAACCTAAGTATAGCCGAGTACCTGCTCAACCACATTTGTACTCGAGGGCATGCTCTATCCCACTAATACCCGAGAACCTGCACTACCCGCTTTGTACCCGACGTATACCCAAGTACCTGCTCTAGACGACTTATATTCGTGCAATTGCTGCACCAACTTTGAACGTGAGCACTTCCACTACCAGACTCGTGCATGGGCACCTGCTCTCCTCGACTTATATCCTAGCACCTACTCTATGAGAATCCGAGCACCTGCTCTACTCGGCTTATATCCTAGCACCTGCTCTTCTCCGCTTAGAGCCTAGCACATGCACTACCAGAGTCTGAGCAACTGCGCTACTAGATTTGGACCTGATCACGAGCACCTGATCTACTCGGCTTATATCCTAGCACCTGCTCTACTCCGCTTAAAGCCTAGCACATGCACTACCAGAGTCTGAGCAACTGCGCTACTAGATTTGGACCTGATCACGAGCACCTGATCTAATCGGCTTATATCCTAGCACATGCACTACCAGAGTCTGAGCACCTGCGCTAATAGATTTGGACCTGATCACGAACATCTATTGTACCAATCTTTCTACGAATGCACCTGCTCTACTCAACTATTACCCGAGTACCTACACTATCAGACTTCAGCACCTGTTCTACTGGACTTGTAAGCTAGTACCTGCTGTAGTCGACATATATCCGAGCATCTGCTCTTCCAGAATCGAAGCAATTACGCTACCAGATGTACCAGAGCACATACCGTACCAATCTTTCTACGAATTCACTGCACAACCCAAGGTGTACTTCAGCACCTGTTCTACTGGACTTGTACGCTACTATCAACTCTACCAGACTTGTACCTCAGCACCTTGTACTTGTACCTGAACATTTGCTCTAAAATGTACCTCAGCACCTTCTCGTCCGGACGTAATCCCAATCTGTTCTTCCAGACAAGAATGCTACTCAACTATTACCCGACTATCTGAACTACCTTACTGGTACCGAGTACCTGTTCTACCCATCATGTACCCAAATTCACAAGTCACTGTTTCCTCCCTATTCGTGCCATATTAACATTCACCAGTGTATCTGATCCGTGTACTGTGTATGTCGGTCATATTAAATTAATAAGATAAGCTCTGGAGATCAAAAGGTCCTCCTGTATGTCGATCAAACATGATTAAAACTTATAGAAATATCAAATACCACACTGTTTATTTTAATTAATCATTCAGATTCATTTGATTAGTAAGGTGTCGTAAATAATATACCAGCTTTCCCTTAATGGATTTCCACAGCATGTCGTGCAGGTGAACCATGGCAATCGGCACTAACATTTATAATTAACACAACTCGTTGACACATAACAAAGGGGTCCATTTTGTCTTGTATTGTGAGCACCATTATGTGAAGATGTGCTATTGATTTGAACCGATTCAACTTTTGAGGGCTCTAACAAGCATGTGTTGTGAGGAATACACTTAAAGTCTTGCAATCGT